GATGCGGATGATGATGACTGAGGAATCTGACAGCCGCGGCGGCGGCCTGATGCTGGGCCTGCATGCTCTGCTGGACCTGGCTCTGCACCTGACCCAAAACCGGATGATGCGGCGGCCATCCTGCCAAGTGGAACGGGAACACAGGCGTCGTCCTTTGAAACAACCTGGTCGGGGCCAGCAAGGATCCTCCGGAGGCGCTGGAGCCGCTGCCGGGCGGCAACGGAAAGGACAGACCGCCTCCAGGCTCCAGGACCATCTTCGGTACCAACTCGCCGGCGTTCGTCTCTCCCTCGGAGAGCGATCAGTCCGTACGCATCAATCTCCGGGATCAGCGGGACCTGATCGCCAGGAGAAGAAGGGTCACCTAATCACTGGCACACTCGTGTCATGTGTCTGTCAAGGATGCGAGAGATCGGAGGATATCTGGGAGCGCCGTTAGAGGTTTCCACAGTCAACGCGCGTTCACGTCTTCCATTTCAGGCCCTTCGAAGCATGATCACTGAGCACTACAGTCCATAGATCATCACTGCCTATAAGTCACTCGTTTGTGACGATCATTAAGATGCTTGCGAAAGCTTTGATCTCGCCGTTTCAAACGGGTTCTCGTATCTTCCATTCTAAATCTTTTAGGTCACCACCCAGATCCATCCCGATCTTGGATCTCCTCGGAAAGCGATGTTCTTAAAGAAGAGTGAGCCGATTCTGAGACTCTTATTGCTTCCTAATGTTCGATATTTTACATATTCCTGATGCTGTCGGATACTATCAGGATCTATAGACCGATCTCAAGTCCAAATAGTCTTAATTACTTGCAATTGCGTAATCCAATAACAACGTTTCTCATCATTTGTAATTTTTTTTTATGTACGAAGTTGCCAGTCGGACAGGTGACTGATAGAACTCCACTAGCCGTCGGCCAGCTTAACGACGTTCCCACGGACGTCTGAACAATCTTTCTAACTAAATTCAACCAGTGTATCACAAATTAGGCTACAATATATCGATCATACATCCACGATCGACAATTCCAAATGTATATGATTTCACCATGTACGAGTACAACTAAAGTCCTTCACTTGCTAAGTTCGTCGATTGAAGAATGACGACCTTTCATGGGAACAACGTCTTTTCGAAAGTCCATCATAAAGTCTTTGATCTGTGACGTCACTGGAAGTCTCACAAGTCACGGGAGTAATTCTTCTCGGTGTACTCCAAAATTTTGTGCATCGCTGGGCGTCGAATCACCGGATCACGCACGTTTGCGACACTTTCTCGGCCACGACGCGTCACCGGGGGTACTTCCGGGTCCTCGCGGCCCTCAAATACGTGCGCGTGACAGGCGGGTCTCCGGGATTTCCCTGGTAGCAAGGACCTGCTGGTGTTAAGACCACTACGGCATGAGCCAACGGCACAATACTATCTGCCTCGAGACTCGAGTCAACGACTCCCCTCTGTCCGCGAAGCTGAAACTGGTTTCAGGAACCGCCCAGAAGCGCCCCGATTGGCCGAGCCCGCGGCGAGCTCGTGGGTTATACGGAACGCTGGACCAATGCGGGCGCAGGAATTATACGAACGGCGCCGCCCGCCGGACGCTTTTTTCGTCCTGGAATTGAATCGACGCCTGCCTGCGGTGCCTGGTGGGGGCGAATCAATTGGTGGCTGCCCTGAAACAGGCCGCAAGATGGCTCCTCCCTTCCCACAGCCGCGCTGCGAGAGTTACCCTTGCCGATCTCATCGGCCGAGGCACTCGGATTCGAACCGAGTTGGATTCGTCGTAATGGACAGGCAAAATATATATCAGTGAATTGTACAGTTGTTTATTGCCCAACATTGTTGTCCCGCCTTTTGTCCATTTTCTTCTTCCAAATAATGGTTTTCGGGATGGAAATTTAACTCGTTCGCTCGCAGATGCAGTGTAATTTAAATTCTATTAGTCTAATTTTTCAAGATTGTGTTCAATAATTAATATGAGACAGAATATGAGTGTGACGAATAATTTTACGTTAAAAAATATTGTGCGGCAACAACTTGAAGGAATAATCAAATTTACGAAAAAGATTTCTGTTATCTATTAATTACCATTAAATTACAAATGCTTTTCAACAAACTTCGAAATTAAAAGATCTTGAAATTCTTGTCGGTCTCATTCCGATATATCACGGACGAGATATTCCATATGGAATATCTTATTGATAAAATTAATGAAATAGGAGACCCTCCTCGGGTCTCGAGTGGACGGACGGAAGGAAGAGACACCCCCATGATCGCGCACCACCACTCCCGTGGCGATCCCCACTCCGGGAGCTCCTTCCGCCCCTCCAACCCCCGAGGGCGCGATCCTCTTTTAATAAAAGGAGCTCGGAGGCGTTAAGTAATTACATCTATTCTCTGCTGGGGAGGAAATTACCTGCGCCGCGGGGTCGGTGTGGGAAAAATTGGGAAATTAAAATTAACCCCCACCCCGAGGCTGAGCCGCGCGCGCGCTTGCACGCCCGTTCTGCCCCCTTTCTCGGATTGCGCGCTCGACCGGAACACTTCGTTCTCGAATTTAGGAGGAGCCGGCGGCCATTACCGCTTACGTAATCTTTTTTTGCACAGTGACGGCGGCAGCTTGTTAGCGAAGTTATTTAGCACGCGATTCGACCCTCTCGCTCCCCCCCCCCTCCTCCATCCCCCGGTTCGTCGACGAGAACCGAGAGAGTCGGCACTCATCTATCATCTCTGGATATTGTTGCCAGAGTAACACTAATAAAGGACAATACATTTCAACGCTCATTGTTTTACATCCAAATGAAATTTTAGCGTTTCTCTAATGTCAGCAACTTTTCTCTAATCGATCAAATAATTTACAGTGTTAAAATCCTTTCTAGTACGTTGTATATTTTGTATAACCGAACTCTTTCTCAGTTGTGCACTAACGTATCGGTCTATATTTTCATGCGTATTGTTATTTTGCACATAATTATGACATGTTGTTTGTTTGATGTTCAATTTTTATCAAACAATTATCTACATGTCAATTATAAAATCATCTTGCAGTTCAATTTTCTTTCTAGTGAGAGAAAATTGCTTCTCGAGATATTTTCTTTTTACAGTAACAACTATGTAGATTTTTCCTCCCTACAGAATTATCTGCTTAATGAATATCTACAACAATTTTATTGGATTTCTTTTCTACAATCTTTTCGCTATTTTCCCAAAATTACAAACTATAGATGGAAAATAAATGTAATATTTGATAACGATGACTATAAGTTTTACGCAAGATTCAAAAGACATACTTATAAAATACACGCATTTTAATTTAAGACTGTAATTAACGTTATAAGAATTTACTAATTTACGCGAGTACATAATTAAATTACTTATTGATTGATAACGAGAAATCGCGAGGCGGACTATGTCGAAGGGAGAGGAGAGAGAGGGGTGAAAGGGGTGAAGTGGAGCCATGAAAAATTGATCGAGCACGATATCTCACGTTTAGGTGCATCTTGGTGAAGGAACCAGAACACGCGCGGGTCATACATCAAACACCCGGAGGCTCCGCGTGCGCCGGGTGCGCGGAGACCGCGCTCCTTTAATATAAAACTTAAATAACGACACACACAAGGCGAGGGAGCTATGACGAAAATGGCGAATAATCTTATGAATAAGTCCTTCGCCCGGTTCAACCGCGAATACTAAAGCCGCGCACGAGGCGCTCCGCGCCATTAGGTCCTGCGGTGTATCTTGAATTGATGAACGCGGGCTGCCACGTCTTTCTTAAATTCATATCCTCATTGGGTAAGAAATCCTAGAAAAGTCCACGGAATTTCGCAACGTTTTACAATTCTATATTACATTTATTATATTTCATTTGAATAAATGTATTTCGAGTCTAAAAAAGGTAATAGCTTTATATCAAATATTTTAACTTTGCATTTATCTCATCGGTGCAGTGTAATTTTATTTCCGTGACTTTTAGCGATTATCGCCGTACGAAATAAATTGGATCTTTTGGCAAATTCTTTTTTTTTTTGCTTCACAACGAAGATTGCCATGGCAACATCTCATATCGTTTTATCGTCGAGAGAGGGAACAAGCGAGAGAGACAGGAGATGAAGAAAGAGAGAAAGAGAGAGAGAGAGAGTTCGTCTTTAATCAAGGTCAAATCCTCATTTGGCACGTCCTCGCTCGCGCCATCAAATATAATCACCCGAAAGCGCACCATCTTTTTTCCCTCCTCTGCTTTGGGACTCCTCCCGCCTTCTCTCTCCTTGCTCGCTGCAGAGAGTACCAGCACCCCTCTCTCCCTTCCTTCAGACTCGTTCTCGCTCTCTCGAATTGAATCTCTCTGCGGGTGAGAGAGGAGAGGGTGAGAAGACGAAGGAGAAGGTTGCCTTGGCAACGACAGAGGGTTTCTCGATGTGGTTGCCGGGGCAACCTGTAACCAGCGACCCCTAAATATGCGCCAGGAACCGCAGAGAGGAGGGGTTGGAGGAAAAGTGAGAAAGAGAGAGGGGCATTTAATAATCGAGTTAAATGAAAGCCTCTCCGAAAAGAAATAACGGAGAGGAATTAAATCGTAAGCACAAGAAGTAGCGAGAAATGCTTGTAACTTGCATTTTGAAAGAAGTAAATACTAGCCCATTTGTTGTAAGTCTATTATATAATTTGTCTTTAAAATGATGCTGCAGTAGTATGTGAAATCTGTTCCTTATATAAATTTATTTTACCAGATTATTTCTTTCATTTATACAAATATATAGATATTACAGGTATTCAGAACAAAGTTCAACTCGAGTTTGATATACAAATAACAACAGTAATAATAATAGCAGAGTAGTAAGTATAATTTATTTTTATGTAAGACCTGCATTTACTGTTTCGCATTTAACGATGTAATTAAAAATTCCTTTGATACAAAGAAAAAAAACATGTCAAACTCGGAATATTCGATTTTGAGGGAAGGCGAAATCTCGGCAATTAGAGTAAAGCGCGAATAATTTTCCGGGGTGCACGTATAATTCAGAGAACGTTAATTTCAAGGCGACGCGCTATTACGTAAAAGTCGCCTTTTGCCGGAAATTAGGCTGACGCTCGTCTCGGGAGACCCGGGGCGTACATAATGCGGACGCGGGAAGGACGAGCGAAGAGGAAAGCGGCGAGTTCCTAATTTACACGGCCGCCGCATCCTCGAAGTCCTTTCCGGCCCAGACGGAACTTTGCCGGCGATTAAAACGCTTTAGTAATTAACTGGGTCTCCTCACCTCCGCC